TTAAATATTTTAATTACTAAACATGCATTTGCAGATGTGGAATGTTTATTGATATTCTCTACCCAGTTACTGTTTTATCTATGCTATATCATATCAATACTATTATGCCTGCTTCGGAAAGTCCTAGAGGGAGTTGATTTGCAATTTCGACTAGGCTATATCTTGATGAAACAAAACCATCAACATGGCTTGCACCACTTTTAGCTGAACCAATCTTTCATATACATATTTCATTTGCAGATGTGGAATGTTTATTAATATTCTCTACCCAGTTACTATAACCTATAACATATCAATACTATTATGCCTGCTTCGGAAAGTCCTAGAGGAAGATGATTTGCAATTTCGACTAGGCTATATCTTGAGCAAACAATACCCCCTACATGACTTACACCACTTTTAGCTGAACCAATCTTTCATATAATATTTTCCAAAGGTACTATACGTGTTAACGACCAATTTTCCACTTTTGAGAGATTGTTTAGTGCTGGTAGCTGAGGAATAACTTTCATATTGTTCCAAAAGGCTTGAGACGTTACTGTATTTCTTTTTATAATGTATAAGTACACCGATTGCAGGAAACGATGATGTCTGACATTTCAATGTATCTAGAAAAGACAATTAGTTTTTCATCAGGCCTAATGTAATGGACAACTCTTTCTTTCTTAAATAATATCTAAAAATGGTTATTTTCATAACCAATTAATATGTAACCAGATCAGGTGACTCAAGCAGTTTTACAATAATTATTGTTCTGTGGAACTTTTGATTGTTTCAAACAGTTTTGCTTATCAAAAAACCTCAAGTACTATATAAATAATATATAATAATATATAGATAATAATATATAAAAAATTATAGTCACTAAAAATCATGAAATAATCTCTTTTTGTAAAAAAATACAACCGACTTCAAACGCTCTAAAAAGAATGAAATAATTTCAATAAAGTAAGCTTTTGTATTAGGCAAGTTCACATATTTCAAGTCGGCGCGGCTCAAACTGCAAATGATTGAAATTAAATATTGTGTGTCTATTTTGAAAATCAATAAATTGTAGCTGGATAACATAAATATATAAAAACATACTGAACTGTTTTATTTATATATTAAAGGAAATATTTTATTGTATTTTATGTTTACTTCAGAATAAATATGCATTATGAAAATAACACACACAAATGTTCTATATGAATAGGAAAATAATTTAGTTTGATATTATGATAGGGAAAAGAAGCTAGTTTAGTATTAAAACGTTACTTTTCCAAGTTAGAAACATTTAAATGCGTTATAATCTTTTTAAAGATACTCGTTAATACCACTATAATGCCGATCTCTGATTACGGTAATAAAATAACACTTAACGCATAACTATGAAAAAGACATGCAGATTAACAACACCTTTAGTTATAGATAGTCACCTGCAATATGGACACCCTCTTTCAATTTTGTATCAAAAATCATCATAGAGCCGCGTCGACTTAAAATACGTGAGCTTGCCTAATACAAAAGTTTACTTTATTGAAATTATTTCATTCTTTGTAGAGCGTTTGAAGTCGGTTGTATTTTTTTACAAAACGAGATTATCACCTATGATTATGTATCAATTTGAGAACGTTTTGAATTTTTTGCGCATTTTGAGAAAATGGAGTGTACAGTAATTAGTAGCCTATATAATTTTTTTACCAAATTTTTTACACCCAAACCAATACAAACATGTTGTAGTGTATTCATTTACCTTTATAAAAATGTATAACACCTTGGGTAAATCATTATAGGCTATAGCATATATAGCACCTCTGAATGTCAGAATCGTCATTTTTGGACATGATGCTAACAAAATACAGTATTTAGTATAGGCTATAACTTTTTTACAAAATTTTTTACCCCCAAACCATTATAAACATGTTGTAGTGTATTCATTTACCTTTATAAAAATGTATAACACCTTGGGTACCTATATCATTATATAGCATATATAGCATGGTGAACTAAGGTCCGTCTCGTACAACAATCCTGAATGTCAGAATCGTCATTTTAGGACATGATGCTAACAAAATACAACCTTTTATGAACACTATTTCACACAATGACACAATTCAGTAATATTTATGCATGAAGATTACTGTTATACACACACAAACTTCACTAACACTACGAACAAATAACGTATTTAGTAATAAATCGCGGATAACACGAGAACGAACACTTTACCGGCAACAACACAAACAAACGATGGCGAATACAAGACAGCTGACAGACTGTAGCAGTAATGACTCACTTCCGTCGTCTACATGCGAGCATACAGAAATAACCCTGAGTGCAGGGCTGCCACTCTCTGAATCTATATTTCTTCCTCTTCAAAATGACATACTATATGACTAGTGATAATAAATTACACTGTATGTAACTCGTATTTTCCACATCGTCACCTGACGACCATCTGCCACGACGATTAGAAGTCAAATGAAATTTTGGCGCGGTACGACTTTTGCAGCCGACACTTGGGAACTGGCAAAACACGTCTTGTTTGGCATTACCCTGCTCGGGTAATTTTCATCTTGGGATGTTGCGGGTGGTACCACTGGATAGCCATTGATTTTATCTTCATTGTGGTAGTGATATTTATAACAAAATATTGATTGCACAATCGGTACAATTTTATGAAAACAGCTGTTTTTGAAATTTCAAACAAATGGCCAACAGTCGTCTGGTGACAGTATGGAAAATACGAATTATATACAGTGAAAGTTATTATTACTAGTCATATAGTATATCATTTTGAAGAGGAAGAAATTTAGATTCAGAGAGTGGCAGCCCTGCACTCAGGGTTATTTCTGTATGTTCGCATGTAGACGACAAGTGAGTCATTACTGCTACAGTCTGTCAGCTGTCTTGTATTGCCATTGTTTGTTTGTGTTGTTGCCGGTAATAGTTTTATCCGCGATTTATTACTAAATAAATATGTTATTAGTTCGTAGTGTTAGTGTTAGTGAAGTGTTGTGTGTATAACAGTAATCTTCATGCATAAATATTACTGAATTGTGTGAAATAGTATTCATAAAAGGTTGTATTTTGTTAGCATCATGTCCTAAAATGACGATTCTGACATTCAGAGATTGTTGTACCTATATAATGATATACCGGTACCCAAGGTGTTATACATTTTTATAAAGGCAAATGAATACACTACCGGTACAACATGTTTATAATGGTTTGGGGGTAAAAAATTTTGTAAAAAAGTTATAGCCTATACTAAATAGGCCTACTACTGTATTTTGTTAGCATCATGTTCAAAAATGACGATTCTGACATTCAGAGGTGCTATATATGCTATATAATGATTTACCTAAGGTGTTATACATTTTTATAAGGATAAATGAATACACTACAACATGTTTATATTGGTTTGGGTGTAAAAAATTTGGTAAAAAAATTATATAGGCTACTAAATACTGTACACTCCATTTTCTCGAAATGCGCAAAAAATTCAAAACGTTCTCAAATTGATACATAATCATAGGTGAAAATAACTTTTTACCATCATACTTATGACTTTTTTGGATTCCTTACTTCATTAGCTTTACAAATATGTAGGCTACATATCATCAGCCTACATAATGTTTCAAAACACAAGCAAACACTGTAGGCTATAGTTTACACTTATTTGCGGTTTTGCGGTTATTGTATTATTATGTCCCTATTACGTACCTACAAAAAAAATATTTCTAACATGTTATAGCTACATTTTTATGTAGGTAATTGAATACACTACAAGATTATTATGTTGGTTTGAAGTAAACAAATTTGGTACAAAAGTTGTATACTAACTTAAGTACTGTGAATTTTTTTCTCGAGAAATCGCTAAAATATAAAAACATTATTTTATATACGTATGTTTATAGGTAAAAAATTATTTTTACCATAAACTTTATGACTTTTTTTGATTCCTTAAGTTACTTCATTAGCTTTACAAACATGTATATATCATTATTAGTATACACATATATTATAGGCCAACTTTTTATAACATAGACTAACACTGTACGATTTTCAATTTTTTCGGTTCTCCGTTTGTCATTATATTTCGCCCCAAAAACTTATAAAAAAAAATATTTTTCTAACATGTTATATATTTCTATGTAGGGAATTAGATTGTCTACAAAATGTATATAATGAATTTCCCATAAAAAAATCTGTAGAAAAAAAATGCAGAGGCCGCTTTTGAAATTTCAAAAAAAAAAAATCAATTTTTTTTATTTTTTTCACTTTACTGATAAAATACACTGTCTAAATCATTATGATATTACTATTTCTAGATTCTCCTGTTCTTTCCGAACAAAATGAATATGAGGTTGGCTAGGTTTACTTGTACGGTTGGATTTTTACGAATTTTCAAAAAATGGTCTGCAAAATCGCCAAAATGGGTTGGCCATTCCCCACTTCTAACATTGGCCACTGCTAGGGTTAAGAAACTATACTTACCTCAGGTTTTTTTGACAACAGCTACGGGAGTGTATTCGACTAGATAATTTAGGCCTAGGCTCCTAGGCTACAAATTAATAAATTAACCTACCAGTAAGTTTAGGTCTAGGCCTAGCCTATATCGAATGAAACTATCGATTCGATTACACATGCAATTTTTTCACCATCAGCAAGTTTGGTTGGTTAGGCCTAGGTTAGGTTATGATAAGTTAGTTTTATTTTATAATAGATATATTTTCAATTCAATAGTTTCAATCGATATTAGGGTAGCCCTAAGAAACTGTACCCCTATTTAATTTAACTTATTAGGCTCTAGACGTCTAGAGGCTATATCCAAATTTAACTTAGGCTATGTGACCAGTTGTGGGCACCCCATAAAATAATTCTCATTAAACATTCAAAAATAGTGATGCTTTGGAAGGGTAAGTTTTACCTAATTATAAATTTAGTTCACAAGACAAGGTTAGCTTAGCTAGGCGGCTAGGTTTAACCAATAGTTTAACACATTTTTTACTTACCACTTTTATTATTTTCTTCTCCCATATTGGAGTAGCACTTTCAGATCAGAATTGGCACAAATTAACTAAAATTTACGAGTAAATTGATTTAGTCAAGCTGATTGTATCAAGTCAAGACACTTTCCTATAAACCTAAATTTCTGTAGGGTTTAGCTAGGCCTAGCTAGCTTGAAGATGAAGAATTTCTTCAAAATGGCGGAGTACGAGTACGAGTACGACCAACGCTGAACGCAACGAACGACCAAGACAAAGACGGAATGAACCTAATAATGAACAATGAATATGAATAGAAAAGAAAATGAGAATGAGTAGTCGAAGCAGAATGGAATGCAGTAGGAAGGAGTAGACGTCGATAATCATTGGGCGATTGGGGCTTGTGCTTGTTTGTGGAATTGTGGGTACGTATAGGCAGTAGAGGTGTGCCGTGAATGGAGCGCCGGAGCGCCGCCGCCAATGGAGCGCTCTGCCTGCGCATGGTGCGGAGCTAGAGCAGCTCCGACGATTTTCTTAGCAGCTCCTCGCTCCGACACAGCTCACAACTCACAAGTAACACAGCCCCTACTACAACTGCTCCCGGAGCGGCCAGAACTTCTGGCCCAGAAGACTGACGTCATTGACATAGCACGACGCTGTTAGCTCCCCACAATACCGCTCCAGCTCCGTGAATTATTATATTCTGCTTTGGTAATCCAAGACAAGACTCCAAGGAATGATTCGTCTGGGTCAGAGTTGGAGTGCATTTATTTAACCTTAGGTCATCGGAGTAACCGGAGTGGTAGCCGGAGCTGGAGCTGTTTGTGGAGCTAGCTCCACAACAGGAGTTGGAGCTATTGAAGCGGCTCTGCTCCCGGAGCTACTAAGGCACACCTCTGACAGGCAGGGCTAGATAGGCCTGCACTGGCCTATCTAGCACAGCTTATTAATTCTACACAGCTTATCAAGTAACTATATGTAAAATTATTTAAAAAATGTTTAAGTTCTGACATGTGCAAGTCAAATTGTCACCAACAACTTTAAGAAGATGAGGGCCCACACTTTTCAATCATCGGGATTGTTTGTCCTTTTTTTCTATCGAGCCTGTTTGCTTTTTCAAATTGCACGAGGTGTTGGTGGCCAGCCATGACCACTTAACTACGCGGCCTAGTGGAATTAGCAACGTCAGAAGTAGTGTTGTGTAGTGGAGCAAGGCGTGGAGTGTGTTAATGTCAGACGTCCCATAAGATAACATGGCAGACAGGTGACATAAGCTCATTAATTCGCATTTCATTGATTTTTAAAAGTTGAATTTAAATTTATGAACATAAATTCATTAAAATATTGAATAAAACATACGGAATAAAAACCAAAACCGTGTGAATTGAAAATCTATCTGTACATTTAAATCAGAGTCAATATTTTCATAGTCCAGTAACCAAGCTTTCATAAATACACAAATACCATTACAGCTGCTTAAAAAAAAACGTTAGAACCCTACATACTTGCGACGTTGCCACTGCCACTTCGAACGCCACGGCCACGACCACCTTTAACTGCAGGCCACGGCCCTCGAACTGGCAACGTGGCAAGTGGTGTTGTAACAGCTGTTTTGTTTGGAAGCAGCTAATGGTATTTGTTTATTTACGAAAGATTCGTTACTGTAGGCCTACTATGACAATATTGACTCCGCTTAAAAATTTATAGTAAAATAGATTCAGATTGTTTCGGTTTTCAATTCTGTATGTTTTATTTTCAATAATTTAATACATTTATGTTCATAAATTTAAGTTTAAATCAATGAAGTGCGAATTAATTAGCTGATGTCACCTGTCTGCCATGTTATCTTATGGGACGTCTGTCACTGAACAACACCACTTGCGATGTTGCTAATTCTACCAGGCCGCGGCCTGTAGTTAAAGGTGGCCATTCCACGGCCTGTAGTTAAGGCCGGGCGTATGCTGAGACAAACGTGACACAAGCCATAGCACACTAATTTTTTACTAGTACATGCTGGGACGCAACACATGCACTATGCAATGCAGTCGCCGCAAGTAGTTAACTAACTTATTCCCCCCCCCATTTCAAATTACATACATTTATAGCATTTTTAGTGACATGTTAATAGCAATTATTGTGAAGTAAACTTGCCATATTTAATCAAAATAAAGGTCTATCCATTAACAAAACAATCCAAATACAACAGTTCCTGAGTTCCACCGCACAACATTCCACATAAAAAATATAGGAGTTTTATAGGCTATGTTTCGATTCTAGCGACTTTCCCATGTTTCGTGCTGCAAGCGGGCACATCATTCTTCCATCAACCTGATGGTGTGCTCGCTTAGCAGCACGAAACAGCTGTTAAGCTAGGCATATTAGGAATATAAGTGGCAGTTAGCGGAAAGTTTAGGTACAGTCCTAATCATCACTTTTCTTTATGTTTTTTGGGTCGCTGAACACGAATATGAGGTTTGCTGACAGATATTTTGCCCGGAACATTGGTTATTTTGTGAAAAACCTTAAAATTTGGGCACTTTTTGGGTTTTTCGGGCAAATCTCGGTAAGTATGGGTTATTGAGAAAATCCTGCTATGTTAAATTAAAGATGACAAAATTTTCTACAAGTTTCCTATATAATGTTTGTTTCTACGACGAACCGTTTCGCCCCTAGAGCACACTAAAAAAGGTCAGAAGTACAAAAAATCAAAAACATTGCTAAATGCTGCCGTTTTACATTAGGTTTCCATGGAAACAACCCATGTTACGATAATTTTAACTATTTATTCATGATAACAAACTGAAACACACTTAAAAATACCCCCGCCACAGCAAACCTGCAGACTAAGCGAATTTCCATTTCCCTGATTGGATTTACACTAAAATGTCTCCTTAGAAATATCACATTTATTCCCTATTTAAATAAAAGTTTAACGAGTACTTAGGTTTGCTGCAACAGGGAGGGTAAAATGGTGTTTTTTGTAAAATGTAATATGTAATTTGGTATGAAATAAATGCATTTTCCAAATTTGATAAGAATAACATGGGCATTTCAAATTTACAGATCTTTTTAATTTTCTCAGTAACCATTAGGCGCATTACAACGCTTTAATATACTAAATTATTTGTTTTTTAAGCTCTACAAAATGGTATGGAAAGAAATCGCTAAATTTAAAGTTTATAGGGTCAAAAATATGAAAAACCAATTTTTACCCCATAAATCCCTGTTCCCATAGTCCGATCATGCTGGTTCGCGAACTCGTTCAAATAGACGTAAGTTTACACGTTTGTCCCAATTTTCATCAAAATCGGATGATTTTTGTCAAGTTCTCGCCCTAACGGACACATATATGAATTTTCTCTAGGGGCCTCAAAACGAAAAAGTAAATCGGTCCCAGTGGCGGTTCCAAGGGGGGGCTACAGGGGCTAAAGCCCCCCCCTTGGACCCTGGAAAAATAAATTTAAACGTACATTTCGTCCTTAAAACACGCAATGTCATAAAACAGACATCAATGTAGATGATGTTATTAAACTGAATAAGCGATGGCAGGAGTAGTATTAAGTTCCACATAGATCAACTTTGTGGACAATAGCACAGCAAATAAAACAATATTACGCAATGGAAAGTTAGTTATACTATACGCATCATCCAATTTTTACAGCAGTCAGCTGTTGACATGCTATGGCGATGGCGAGCGCCGAGCGCGCGAGCAAGGACGGGGAAACAGCTGATTTCCTGATGTTCCATAGTTGTCAAATTGTCTGCTAGCCACTAACTTTACACAGGCCACAGGCATCAATCAGCAATCAGCGGTAGCACCAGTAGCCTTTTACCTTTTACTATACAGGGTGTTGAAAATGTCTGGAACCAACATTATACCTCGTGAGTGGTTAAAGAAAAACAACTGATATTTTGTGTACGGATATACTATGGTTTTACCTATCTTTTAGTGCCTTATGAAAATGTTTACCACTTATAGGGAACGTCCTGTGGAGGATGCAGTAAAAAGTTTTAATGGAAGCCTATGGTAAATGATACATCATTTTAAAGGCCATTTTTTTCTGAGTAAGGAGCCACAGGTTTCATCTCAAAAGGACCACCCTAGCAAAAATGGCGACTGTTTGAAATTTAAAAAACCACTTATAGGGAACGGAATTTTTAAATTTCAAACAGTCGCCATTTTCGCTAGGGTGGTCCTTTTGAGATGAAACTTGTGGCTCCTTACTCAGAAAAAAATAGCCTTTAAAATGATGTATCATTTACCATAGGCTTCAATGAAAACTTTTTACTGCATCCTCCACAGAACGTTCCCTATAAGTGGTTATTTAAATTTCAAACAGTCGTCATTTTTGCTAGGGTGGTCCTTTTGAGATGAAACTTGTGGCTCCTTACTCAGAAAAAAATGGCCTTTAAAATGATGTATCATTTACCATAGGCTTCTATTTAAACTTATTACTGCATCCTCCACAGGACGTTCCCTATAAGTGGTAAAAATTTTCATAAGGCACCAAAAGATAGGTAAAACCATAGTATATCCGTACACAAAATATCATTTGTTTTCCTTTAACCACTCACCAGATATAATGTTGGTTCCAGACATTTTCAACGCCCTGTATAAACACTAATGTTAAAGTTTTGTATACCAATGCTATTACCGGTACTGAATTCGATACTGTACATGTTTAAACATTTTTGCCACCAAGACTGATATTCGAATATATAATAGGTTACGTACCTTGGTCCGTCTTCAGTCTTATTTTAGTCAATGGATGACTAGTTTCGGGTACAAAGACCCATTGTCAAATCCTTTTCAAAACATCATGTAGAAGCTAGTCAAAAATCCGAGGGAAGTCTTCATCATTATATAAACTAGTCATCCGTAACTTGTGTTTTTTAAATAATGAACTTTATGTGTCAACCTGTATTTATAAGACTGAAGACGGACCAAGGTACGTAACCTATTATATACTGTACATGTGACAGATCTATGAAATGGACTGTAGAAAAACATAAGGTTAAAAAACGTATCTACTTGCTTGCATGAAATATAAACAGCATATAATAGGTGAAATGGAAGGTTTTAGGATAATTATTGAGCACAGTTATAGCCGTTAGAAATAGCCCTATAAAAGTGACCAAACGGCTTATTTTTAGGAGATATGGCTTTGTAGTCTACAGTAGGCCTATGTTTTGAAATTCATGAATGCAAGTTCGTCATAATTTGATTTTTTAAATCTCTACTTACTTACTTGCTCATGACAAAGACAAATAACAGGTGAATTGGCAGGTTTTTGGACAGTTGGACACATAATGGCTTAATAATTGGATTAAATAATTGGAAAAATAATTTAATTTTGATTGGATTAAATAATTTTGGATTTGGATTAATAGTTGGATTAATAATGGCTTTAGAAAGTCAGGAAACAGCTTTTAGGACGATATTGCCGTAGCCTACAATATGTTTTGAGATTTTATGAATGCAATCGTCATAGTTAGTTTTAAAAATGTCTACTTATTCATGACAAATAAAAATTGGGAAATGGGAGGTTGTGCACACAGTTCTAGACGTTAAAACTGGCTGTAGAAAGTCACCCAACGGCTTTTTAGGAGGATATGGCCGTAGTCTACAGTGTTTTGAAATTCATGAATGCAATCGCCATGGTTTAATTTTTAAAATGTATATTTGCTCATGACAAACAACAGGTAAAATGCCGAGTTTATGGACAATTAGGCAAGGTTTTAGGTGTTAAAAATGGCTTTAGAAAATCACTAAACGGCTTTGAAAATTCCAAATTTTCCCGGGGGGGATACCCCCGGACCCCCCTGCTGTTTTGGGGGGTGCTCCACACCCCCCAACCCCCCCGGTAGCCCCCCCCTTGACAAGGTCCTAGAACCGCCACTGATCGGTCCTGGGTCCAGGTCTTACCATGAGTAATACGGTAATAGCTTATTCCCTATAGGGGAAATTCACTAATAAACTAACTAGTGTGTCTTTCTGACCACAATGTATTTGGGTATACGGGTAAGAATTCTCTACTTTCATCGCGTTATTCACTATGGCAAGTGGCTGGACACGGTCTACTCGTCTGAATTTGACGTTACCAAAGTTTAAGTTATCTACAACTCTTTTATTGTATTTAATCCCTTTTTCTCAATCACCATAGCAGTCAACCCGGTGGCCAGCAACATCCCTGTGCTGAGAAAATAAATGGGGGTTTTGTGGGAACGGGAAATGTTCCAGCAGTCAGTCATACATCTTGGCATAGATTTTTCAAGTGTGTTTCAGTTCATTATCATGAATAAATAGTTCTAATTTTCGTAACATGGGTTGTTTCCATGGAAACCCAATGTAAAACCTTTGTAAAACGGTTAGGGTTTATTTTCATTTTTGGTTTTGCCCAGCATGATCGGACTATGGGAACAGGGATTTATGGCAGGTTTTATGGGGTAAAAATTGGTTTTTCCTATTTTTGACCCTATAAACTAAAAATTTAGCGATTTCTTTCCATACCATTTTGTAGAGCTTAAAAAACAAATAATTTAGTATATTAAATCGTTGTAATGCGCCTAATGGTTACGGAGAAAATTCAAAAAATCTGTAAATTTAAAATGCTAATTTTATTCTTATGGAGACTACGTAAACTGTTGTAGTTTGCTTGTTTATGAACATATTTTGATCAAATTTGGAAAATGCATTCATTTCATACCAAATTATTACATTTTACAAAAAAACACCTTTTTACCCTCCCTGTTGCAGCAAACCTAGGTACTCGTTAAACTTTTATTTAAATAGGGGATAAATGTGATATTTCTAAGGGGACATTTTAGTGTAAATCCAATCAGGGAAATGGATATTCGCTTAGTCTGCAGGTTTGCTGTGGCGGGGGTATTTTTAAGGGTATTTTTAAGTGCGTTTCAGTTTGTTATCATGAATAAATAGTTAAAATTATCGTAACATGGGTTGTTTCCATGGAAACCTAATGTAAAACGGCAGCATTTAGCAATGTTTTTAATTTTTTGTACTTCTGGCCTTTTTTAGTGTGCTCTAGTGGCGAAACGGTTCGTCGTAGAAACAAACATTATGTAGGAAACTTGTAGTAAATTTTGTCATCTTTAATTTTACATAGCAGGATTTTCTCAAAAACTTATACTTACCGAGATTTGCCCGAAAACCCCAAAAAAAGCCCAAATTTTAAGGTTTTTCGCAAAATAACCAATGTTCCGGGAAAAATATCTGTCAGCAAACCTCATATTTGTGTTCAGCGACCCAAAAAACATAAAGAAAAGTGATGATTAGGACTGTACCTAAACTTTCTGCTAACTTTCCTAATATGCCTATACTATGTATTTATTTTATAACACAATGATCAATTGACGTAACAGGTAAATTAAACCTTTTAGCGAATTTCCCATATAGGGAATAAGCTATTACCGTAGTACTCATGGTAAGACCTGGACGCGGGACCGATTTTTTTTTCGTTTTGAGGTCCCTAGTGGCCAAAAGCACCATCCGTTCAAATTCAAATATATATATATATATATGTGTGTGTGTGTGTGTGTGTGTGTGTGTCCGTTAGCACGATAACTCGAGCAAAAATGATCCAATTTTGATGAAATTTGGTACAAACGTGTAAACCTACGTTTATTCGAACGAGTTAGCGATCCAGCATGATCGGACCATGGGAACGGGAGTTTACGGGGGGTTTTATGGGGTAAAAATGTTCGCATTTTTGACCCAAAAAACATAAAATTTAGCAATTTATTTCCAAACCATTTTGTAGAGCTTAAAAAATCAAATAATTTAGTATATTGAAGCATTTTTATGCGCCTAATGGTTACGGAGAAAATTCCAAAAAATTGTAAATTTAAAATTCCCATGTTATTCTTATGGAGAATAAGTAAACTGTTGTAGTTTGCTTGTTTAATGAACATATTTTGATCAAATTTGAAAAAAGTTTTATTTCTTACTAACTATTAACATTTTACAAAAAAAAATAGTTTTACCCTCCCTGATGCAGCAAACCTAAGTAGAGGTACTCGTTAAACTAATTCTATTTAAATCGGGAATAAATGCTAAATTTTTAAGTAAATCCAATAAGTAAAATGGAAATTCGCTTAGTCTGCATGTTTGCTGCGGCGGGGGTATTTTATATTTTCCTTTTATCCTTTTAGTGAATTTCCCATATAGGGAAATAAGCTATTACCGTAGTATTTATGGTAAGACCTGGACGCGGGACCGATTTACTTTTTCGTTTTGAGGTACCTAGAGGCCAAAAACACAATCCGTTCAAATTCATATACATATATACATATTTATATATATATATATTTATATATATTTATATTTATATAATATATATATTTATATGTGTCCGTTAGCGCTATAACTCAAGCAAAAATCATCCGATTTTGATGAAATTTGGTACAAACGTGTAAACCTACGTTTATTCGAGAGTTCACGAACCAGTTTGTTACAAACATTTACTGACTTGGTTGAAATGAAATATTTAGGCTACTATTTGGGTTGGTGTAAATATTACAATAGAAAAAAGCTAGAGAGCCTGAATAAATTGGTATAATCTCTTATTTACATCTTTAGTATTTCCATAACCTTTGAGTCGAATACTTTAAAGTCATCAGAAACGTTTTAAAATAACACCTGTAATACTTAGCAGTTGCTCGAATTCGAGCAACAGGGACACTAGTATGGTTTTATTTAATATTATTAAATTGACAAGAGTTATCCTGTAAAGCAGTATGTACTGAGGAAGGCTTGCTAAATAAAGGCATTTTATTATTTATTATTTACTAGCTGTACCCGCGGGCTTTGCCCCGTTTAACTTTATAAGTGAGCTCGTTCGCATGGCTCAATCATGTCCTGGTTGAAGTTCGTTCGCTAAGCTCACTCACTTTTAAGTTGGAGCTCGTTCGCTGCGCTCACTTGCCTTCAGGTTAGCTCATTCGCTACGCTAACTCGCCTCCAGGTTGAAGTTCGTTCGCTACGCTCACTCACCTTTTGGTTGCAAATTAGCCGTTGTCATAAATGTAAAAGAAATAATAGTGCTGCACCCTGTTGGTAATCCTTGTAACTTTAATGCTATTGAACATCATAAAACAGAACCAACTTGTTTAATTGAAACAGCTTTTAAGATTCATTAATTCCATTTAAATATGAGTACTCATAAGGTTAACATGGGAAACTCCAGAGCCACTGGGGCGGAGCCCGAGAGTCCAATCAGAATAAAATGGGAAGTAAGAGAATTAGTGATGAGTGAGTGAGTGAGTCAGTCAGTCAGTGAGTCAGTGAGGGCTTTGCCTTATATATATATGGATTATTTGATCGATCGATACATGGTTTTCGATAAATACAATTGCTTACATTGAAGTTTACAGCTGATTTTATCTCCCAGGGACTAAAAAGGCTTTTTACTCCCTGAGGAGTAGAAGATATGAGTTACTTTTAGAACCCCGCAACGAGTGTATTAAAAATGGCTGTTATATGTTTTGTATTATGTTATGACCAAAAATACTTTTGAAGTGCGTTAAGTTTTGGTACTTGCAGTAGCCTATACTCCAACAGTTGAGAGTAAACACTAAATCTATCCATTTGTTTCAGAAGAGCTTCTGGACCTCTCTAAAGCTTTCCCGCATGTACCTCTAAAAACTGAATTTTAGAGAACATGAAGGGTAGACTGTTAAGTATTTAGTTAGCAATCTTAAAAATATGCCCCCTTGCACTGAAAAAACTTAACAAATGACTTGCAGAAAGAGAACTTCTATTCTCATGATGTACTCAAACCAAAGCAGGAAAAGAAATGGAATAAAATCAAAACAAAGGTATTTCAAGCTGTGTAGCTTTAGTGATCATATACAATTGCATGTTCCTATAGCAGGTCATTTCCCTCTACAACATTGCTATTCGAGTCTAAAGGACTATGGTACATTGTTCATGGAAATTTAAATGTCATACTTCAATATAGTTGTCAGAAATACAATAATTTTCAGAAATATTAGTCCTGTTCTTTTTTTATCTAACCAAATTTAGCTTTCTGTTTGCTGACACAGAGCAAGGGAAAAGTATTAAATTAATTAATTTGCTGGTACATAAACTAGATAGAGTGATACAAGAAAAAGATGTGATTAAAATAAGGAGAGTAGAAGGTTTACAACTTATGGTGATACATCTGATTATCTGAAAAATACCTTGTATCGTATTATGATATAGTGTTTGATTATTTATATAGAGAATTGAGTAAAAACAGGATATTGGTTTAAAGATTAAAATAATTATCTCAAATATTTTACGCCAATAAAGTTAAGTTAATGAAAAAATCTCTTTAACAGATTAATTCAAGCATATACAAGTTTAAACTGTTCTTAAAGTCTCCCTTGTAAAATTATACAAGTCAACATGTTTCTCTCATTTAATTTTCATTAATTTAATGGTGTCATAAAAATCACTTATTCCATTTTCTACATACCACTCATATTAAAGCACTAATCACGTTACATTAAAATTTCAGCATTGACGTAATACTTAGACATCTGTACAATTAATTATCCGAACCACTCATGAAGTTAGAGCATACGTGTCTTCAAACAATCATTTTGTGTTGTATCGTTGTAACCAAAGGGCGCTTTTAAAAGGTTTTGTAATTATTTGAAGTTTGTTTGATGTTATTGATTTTTTCGCATAAGTTATTGGTAATAAAATCAACTTGATGGCATCAGTATGTATTGGTATGTAATTTAATATCTGTTCAACAACTGTGTATTCCTAAATTGGTTATTGCTGCCAATTGAATGTACCTCAGGTACCACATCTTATATTCATAAAACAGGTGTCCAATCCTGGTAACTAAACTTTTTCATTTTAATTTAAGTATAAGGAATATACCACAAAATTTGTATTTATAACAAACTAGCTGCTGTACCCGTGCTTTGCAGCGGGAAGAAAAAAATATATAAAAAATTGTTGTTTAACCTTGTAACTTTTTAATGCTATGGAATATCATAGAACCCAACTTGTTGGTTTATTTGAAAGAGCTGTCAATATTCTTTGATTCTTCTCAAATATCAATACCTACAAGGTAAATATGGAAAAATCTAGAACCACTGGGGCGGAGCTCCAAGGGAGTTCAAGAACAGGAATGGGAGTGTATAGAAACCTTCTTGGGGGTGTATAAGAACAGTGCCTCATAAAAGCACACCGTTTTGTATTGTTTGGTTGGAATACACAGTACTGGAGTGCGGCAAAAGTTAGTAAAGCAGCAATTAGCTACTTTTCGTGCTATAATCGGTGCAAGGAAGCCTGTTTAGCCAAGGTAAAAAAATAAGTTTTTCCAGATTCACTATTCAGCACCTACTTAGGTTGCTGAACCATGTGGTGATACAATAGGATGGTTATGTTATATTTGGATTTTCTTGACAACCATTTCTAAGGTCTTAACAGTTTTTATAGAGACCAATATTGCAAACTTAATAGGATTGAAATTTCATTTTCAACCAACATTTTCGTATATGGACGGACAGACATTTAAACATAAAAATACCCCAGCCTCAGCAAACTTGAAGACTAAGTGAATTTCAATTTGTATGATTGGATTTTAATTCAAATAGTTCCATAAACAAAACATATTTATTCCCCATTTAAATAACACTATTGTACCTGTTGCTCGAGTTCAAGTATTACAGGTGTTATTTTAAAACAAATTTATCTGTCATAATTTTCAATGACTTTAAAAGAGTCGACTCAAAGATTATAAAATACTCACGAGTCACGATGTACATAACGGTTCAATATAATCAAAATTTCTTGTAAATATCTTTTCATTTTCAAAAGCTGATCTTGTTTTTCAGTGTTTTCTACAAATATTTCCCACTCACAGCCAAATTAGGTTGTCCATAATAACGATTACTGTATAAATAAAAAAAAAATATTTCTTTTTCTTCTACTGGGAGTGTTCTATGGCTTTCCTATGTTTTCATAATTTGCAAATCGGCTCTTTCAATGATTGTTCAAGAAATGCAGCAAAGTGTTAATTCAGGTTTTTTAGTATATCAAATTGTCCAGGCTTTCTCGCTTTTTTCCATTGTATACGCCGACCCAAATTCAAATAGCAAATATTTCATTTCAACCAAGTCAGTAAATGTTTGTAGCACATGTTTCCTTAAATTGCAACTAAAATATATTAACAGCAATTGATCCAGCTGATCATATAATGTAAACAAATATATGTTCTTCATAAGAATATCATGGGAACTTTCAAAGCCACTGGGGCAGAGCCCAAGGGATTTTTTTCAATAATGTAAGGCCGGTTTGCAAATCTACACATCTAGACGAACATTTTGGTATATAATATGTGGGATTAATTCTTAAAACAAAAAAGCCCTTATTGTTTACAAAGTTTCATGTAGCATAATAACAGTACTGTGGATTTACAAATACTGTACTTGGGTTTTGTTATAGATGAGTGAACAAATCTATGGAGTCGGAGATTAGTTGTCCACTTGTCTGTGACTCTGTGTGTTTGCGTAAAAAACTGAATAATCGTTGCACTTATAGCGTTCAAATTTTGCACAAATAATTATGACACCACTGGGAAGACACCATTAAAATTCTAGACGATTCCGCTCAGTAGTATTTATAAAACCCTAAGAACACATTTTTAAATCTGTCCCATAAGAATAACATTTGACAATAACATAGCTACCGGTACCTTCTTATTCTTTTTATTTGTTTACATTTTGCGACCAACAATTTTCTTGTCTACTTTAGACAAAGAGAATGACTTTTTCTCTAAACATTTTTTCATTCATGGAGTAAACAGTTTGACATCTAAGAAGATATAAACAACTTCCAGAATAATAATGTTGTGGATTGTTTGAGAATTGAATTAGTTACGTAATTTAATTAGTGGACTGTATTATAATATGATGTTGGAATAAATTGAGCAGTAAAATGACACATCTTAAACTGAAAGAAAATAATTAATGAAGTCTTATCTAATAATAAAATTGAAGTATCACTCACGACCGATCCTTTCTTCTCTGTACGAAGCGTGGTTGGCGGCCTGGAGTGTGGAGTGTAGAATTCTCAGGGGCCCCTTGGTCTTGGTCCAGCGGAGATCATCCTGCCGTAGTGGATAACGTCGTTCACTGACACAAAGAGAAACACCCGAATCAGCGCCACTTAGAATCCCCCCCCCCCCACCACCCCACCCAGAACCCATGAACATTACTTAACTCTATTTGTGAATTTTTCCCAAAGATTTTGGGAAGAACTTTTTTATAAGTTTAGGTTAGAAGAATAATTGCAATAAAAGACTGTTTATTATTCCCAGGAATTTAACATTTTTACACTTTTACTCATCGTATAAACTTTAGCAAAACCAAGGCTACACTAAAAAAACCGGCGTTATGCTCGTCAAGCATGACGTCACGATAGAAGATGGTAATGACGTAATTGCCGTTTGTGATCAGCTGCTTGTTTTGTTTTAATCTTTCCTTAAAAAATAAATAAATAAATACCTACGTCATTGCCGTCTTCTATCGTAACGTCATGCTTGACGAGCATCACGGCCTAAGTTAACAATTTATTTATAAATGTAAAAACAATTTTATTACAGGATAACTTGGATACGATATAAGTTAAAGCCTATTACAATGGAAAACAGGTGTAGATAGATGACAAGAGAGGAATTTTTAATTGAACACATTAAACATGAAGAAAACATGAAAAGCCAAATTAATTACCTTGACAAAAAGAATACAAAATTATCAATTTGAACAGTTCAAAAGCTCTTAGCAGTTAAAAATTAATTTTCCTAGCTTTGATCTTGGCAAATTCTTTAATTGCAGAGTTGGTATCAATCTGGTTCAGAACATCAGAATGTGGTTCAGAACAAGAGTCATGAAATAAAACCCACAGGCGCCGCGCTGTAGTACCACAGACAATATAATACTTTAATGGTAGTACGCTGCCGACTGCTGACTGCCGAGTGTCAGCTCACTACAAATCGAAACTACAAATGGCATTAGTCCTTGAGTTGTAGTGCTGTACAAATATACACATTTTTCATATGCTGTTGGTACAAACAGAATAAATGCCTTTATTGTGGTGCCTTGAATACTTGAACTCTGAGCAAAAATAAACAAAATTATGTTGTTCACTAAAAAAAAAATTGTTCTGTTGGCGCCACGGCGCCAATTTTTCGTGGCGCCATATGCGGCCGCTTAGTTCGCGTATGGGTTAAACCGGCCCTGAGAATCCCGGAGGCGAGACACGATATTTATTTAGTTTAAAACCGATCACGGTGTAAAGAAAGTTCAAGGCACAAACTGGTGCGTGATAAGCGGTAGCCGGCAGAAATTATTGTCAAGAAAAAGATAAGAGGAAAAAGGAGTAGGTAATACTACGTCACTGTCAGGATTGCCAACTAGGAAAAGAGGAATAACTAGCAATGAGTCTGTGTTTATGCATGTATGCCAAAAATGGGCTAAACCTAAATTAAACTTGATTTTGTCCTTTTTATTTATTAATTATATTATTTACACAACAAATAGATTGAACTTTACAATATTAAGCTACGCGCGCACTACGGCGGCACGGCACGGACGGGCGGTACGGCACGGACGGCATTTTTAAGAGGGGGTGCACGCACTAGGGTGGCACGGCACGGACGGACGGGATGGGACATCCGCACATCCGCAATTTAGGACAGCTAAAACTTGTCAGTAATGATGGATGTAGATAAAGTGGTGATGGTAGGTTTAGTTTTAGCCGAGGAACAGGAGACAAGAAGGCGGAAGCAAAGATTTTGGATGCACCACATAAACAGGAAAAGACTAAGTTTTGGAGAGTTCCACACCTTGTTTCCTGATCTTGTAGAGGATGATGTGTAAAACTTACCAGATTGTTTCATAATAGATCCCATTTTTGCCCATGTATTTTCACGCCGGACGTTATTAAAATATTTTTGATGTCGCATGTTGTACAGTTTCAGATATTTCTCAATGAGAACAATCAAATAACTAACATCTATGTTTGTTTAGTAAACATAGTATACAACACAAGAAAACATTGCGACTTTGACAGAGACCATTTGAGAATGGCGGAAGTCCCGTGCCGCCCGCCCGGTCGGTGTGCGGTGCTCCCGGGCGGTACGGCAGCTCGGAAATGTCCCAGAGTTCTCTGTCTCCCGGACTTTTTAACAAACGGTGGAAGCTGCCGAACATCAGTTGACGGCCGTCCTGCCGTAGTGGGCGCACTCATATTACATTCAATGTTATTAACTTTTAAAAATTGCCAAACCGGCCGCCCGTCCGTGCTGTACCGCCGTAGTGCGCGCAGCTTTAGTCGGCAGTTATATACAGTTTATGTTCAGTATTAAAATTCATATTTAGAAATATATATATGTACATATTTAGAATTAAGCAGGTTTTACATTGTTCAATCAAACAGATTTTTTGTTATCTATATCCAGGATTCATTATTAAAAGCACAATAATCAAGAGCACTACAAAAAGATAGCAATAGTTTTATCAGGATTATAAAAGTATCAAGTTTGAAATTTCCATACTCTTACAAACAAAGCTTACACACAAAGAAATGTGATGTCTAGTCGCAAAATGAAACAATAAAGATTATCTGATTTCTGAGTAAGTTGGCTGCAACAAAAAAGCAAGAGATTGAACATGAGTAGCCCAAGACCACTTATTGAATTGATGGTACCCAGCAGGGGTCATTGAATTGATCATGTTTGACACTTTATTTCTTTGTCACTTTTACTACCAACTTTTTGTAGTAGTCTTTTGAGACAAGCTCCTCAGTCATTTCCATCAACTTCAATTCCTTATATGAACCCCCTTAAATTGTTTACAGGCTTACTACTAATACTTACACTGCCAGATGGCCTCTTGAGTGATACTTGCATGGATGTAGGAATGAAAAACTTTATTACAGGAAACCTTCATTTTCAAAAAATTGTGCAGCTTCCTCCTCCTAAACCAAGACCAGAACAGGAACTTAAATATGTGTTTGTTGTAAGTACGGTTTAACTTAATTCTTTGCTTTTATGGATTTTTATTGGATATAATCATTACATAATAAAGTACGAGCTGTTGGCCCGTCCTACATACGGGAATCGAGTAGCCAAGTCAATAAAATTGAATATGAATTCGGAAGCTAGTTACACACATAAAAGAGAATCATTCTAGTTCATAATTTATCGTCAATTATTGTTATAAATAGCCTATTGTAGGCTACACTAAACCACATAGTTTTCAAAATGTTTTAAAGCAAAACATTACCGATTTTAACTGTTTTAATTCAATTGCCATGACCCAACTTTGACAATCAATTGCGGTTTAACTTTAACTTGGCCGATATTAATGAATTAGGTTCACAATCTTGGGTTCATTAATTGTAACAGAGATCTGGGGAATAATTGGTATTTGGGGCGCGGCTTAAAAATGTCCTATAAATCGACATAATTTTTATCCTATTTGCTTCACAAAATTATCCAAGTCCAACACAGAGCACCTATCTTTCCAGACTTTGACCAACAAGTAATTTTTACAAAGAACAGAAACTACCGTTTGTCTGTTTAAACAAACTAATCAAATTTGAAAGAATTAGTTATTGGTGATGTCTTTTATGTGTACAATGTACCTACTTTACAAATACACATCTTTTGAAATTAATTCCAGGTCAGTATAAATTGCTCACCTTGTAATTGCATCACCGATTGTTTTCGATTCCAGCTTGTGAAGCATGCCATGGCAGTGCCTGAGTATGATAAAGAAAAGACTTTCCCAGGAGACAAAAACTATCAAAAACATTGGGTTAAAGACAGTCCTACGACAGTAAGTAATAGCTTTGACTATTTATACAACTAGACATTCCATCGCCATGTTAAAGTTGTCGCCAGTTTTTTATCCAAATCATTGTAACTGGTGTGAGCAATAACAGCTTGTGATGATGTAAATTAATGATTTCTGTTGAACACACAAACTCTTTTACCAAATTCAAACTATGGTAACGACTTATTGTGAGATATCTCTGTCATGTCACATTACTATACCCTTCATCATCATCTGTGACTACAACAAAAATTAAGGTAGAAAATAGAATTTTACATTAGCGTATACTGTAACCGGCTCTCTTAACTTAAACTATGTTCTTTTAGCGAATTTCCCCTATAGGGAATAAGCTATTACCGTAGTACCTACTCATGGTAAGACCTGGACCCGGGACCGGTTTAATTTTTTGTTTTGAGGTCCCTAGAGGCCAAAAACACAATCTGTTCAAATTCATACACACACACATATATATATATATATATATATACTAGCTGTAACCCGCGGGCTTTGCCCCGTTTAACTTCTTAATTTTCAAGATGATCTCGTTCACATGGCTAAACCTAAACCTATTCCATGAAATACTACACGTATGGACCAAGTTTCGTGGCAATCGGTTCAGCGGTGTCTGAGTTTATCACTGCCAAATATATATATACAAACATCCTCTTTTATACTTATAGATTTATTTATTTATATGTGTCCGTTAGCGTGATAACTCGAGCAAAAATCATCCGATTTTGATGAAATTTGGTACAAACGTGTAAACCTACGTTTATTCGAACGAGTTTGTGAACCAGCATGAATTGGCTATGGGAACAGGGGTTTATGGGAGGTTTTATGGGACAAAAATTGGTTTTCCCCATTTTTGACCCTAAAAACTTAAAATTTAGCATTTTCTTTCCAAACCATTTTGTAGAGCTTAAAAAAACCAATAATTTAGTATATTGAGGCGTTATTATGCGCCTAATAGTTATGGAGAAAATTAAAAAAAACTGTAAACTTAAAACATTTTTTACACTGGTACCTCAAGCACTGTAAACATTAAGCAACAATTTAAAGTGTTCACCATTATTTTCAGCACGGACGAGCACTAATGTTAATGATTGGAAGGTCTTTAAATACGAGATATAAACGCTTCATTAAAAACCATGTACCGAATTGGGAAGGAATAAAGGTTTCATGCATAAACAAAGATTATGTAAAAACATTGACAGGTGATATGGTATATGGTCTTCTTAAACAGTCAAAATTCTTGAATGAGCTGAAAACTGATTTGTCCTGGGTGGAGACGCAAGAAGATTTTGACAAAATACAAAAAATACTGGTAAGAGGTTTTTACATGTGATGAAAGATGTGTTGCTAAAAACCTAAACGAGATCTGCTTACTGATGCATAGTGTGGCGAAACTGAAACTCCTTTGCTAAAACTTTTTCGCAACGTGCATAAAAAAAACATACATTTTAGCTGCAGTAGGAAAATAGTATATTTCATCACTAGGGCCTAGGGTGAATATTTTCAACTTGGAGCTCAAGTTTTACAATCGAAGCGAAGCCGATGTCGGAAAATGAGTGGAGGTTGAAAAGACACTTTTTGTTTTGTGTGATGAACTATATTTTTCTTCATATTGCACCAATATTTGAGCAAACTATGTTGCATAGCTAAAATAGTTTTATTTAAAGATAGCCTCTCAAAACTACTTTGTTTTCAATTTTATTTGCTAATGGAAACAAGCAGCTGTTTAGTAAATGATCATATCGTTTCGTCTATTATGATTGTGATGGTGTACATTATACCATCAATGTGTCAAAACTATTTACAATAACACAACGATAAGTTACATTCGATTAAACAATCGATACATACTTTTGATACATGCGATTGTTTAGAATTGAAATTTACAATTGAGTTGACAACAGCTGATTTTCACTCCCTAGGGGTTAATAACTCTTTTTTTACTCCCTAGAGGATAAAAATGCTACTTAAGACCCTCAATGTATGCATTTAAAACAGCTGTTTTTGCTTCATTATGAGGAAAAGTAAATTTAGTGCATAGAAAATCAGCTGTTTGTTTATCCCTTGTTCTAAATTATAATTTCAGAAACAATCTTTCTTTGCCATTTAAAGATGACTACTTTCTACAAAAATATAAACAAAACATAATATTTTGAATCAACAAATGTTATTTTGACTCAACAAATGTTATTTTGACTCACATTAATACCTGGTTGTATAGAGCTCTGGCAAATGCAGATGGATGAATTTCTTAAAGGAACAGTTTTACGAAGATGACCAAGTTGGCCCCAAACATTTCACAAGGTGTTCTGAGGGTTTGTACACTCTGCTACAGGGGTTCATAAAAAACGAAGACAATCTATCAGAGAACGAAGAAGGTTTTGAGTGGGTGATGAATAACCCGGAGCAGATCTACAAACTGTGGTCAATGCTTGTGTTTCAGGTGAAATCTTGATGAGGTATAGGGTGATTAAAATTACTATTTCAATAAAGAGACTTTCAATGAAAAACAATTATAATGACACAGAGATGCTTAAATCTTTGATTGGTGAACTTTTCCTAGAGTTTTTACAAAGTTGTTTCAGGTACTGTGTTATACTTAAATATCCTTGGTTGCTGTGGCAACTATAGCTTAGGATTTTAGGATGAACCATCTCCTGGTCTACCTACAAGGAGTAAAAAAGTTCCTTCTTTTAATGTCAAAGTAGTCTAATAAAATCAAGCACACAAGACACAGACTCAATATTTACAAATACATATTATTACACAAAATGAAAAATACAAAAACATTGAGCAACAATACCGAGTGAAAGTCTCAAGTCTAGTCATTACCTTAGTATATAAGGGGTTTAAATACATTTTGCTACCAGAATGATTCTTATATTTAGGCTACCGGTTTGGACTCTCTAGCCTCTGAGTTTAGACCAGTCCACCGCGTATACGTCTCAGCACGTTTTACTTTTTAAATAATTGCTTAAATTCTTGTGTTTCTGTACGTGTTTCTTCGTGTGTAATTGTTTTACAAAATACTGACTTATTATAATTGAATGGAAATTGACACGTTGTGACTTGATGAAGACTCCCTTTGAGAGTCAAAAATGGTAGCCTAGACCATCCTAGACAGACTACAAGAACCACTACGGTTGTAACAGGTATTTAAACAATTATTATATTTACTACAAGCGATACAGAAGCTAACAACGCATGAAATTGCCTTAGTATTTATTTGTTATAATGGTGTGGATAATAATTTTGTCTGCTATTGGTAATCTGGTTGTTTCAGAAGCAACTATTTTAGCAACTTTTATTATAAAGGACATGTCAATGTGGTTGTGTGGACATCATTATTGTCTTTTGCGACCCAAAGCGTGACAAAATATTCCGCACTAGTGAGAACTCTATGACTATCCGCAGTACTACCATGATAATTAGACCGATTCGTAAATTACAAGGCAAAACTGTGGTTCGGATTCCACTATAAACTGTAGGTCCCTTAGTTGCCATAAGCTGTATGGGATATTAATTAACAGTCCTGTCTAAGGAACATGTCGGCCGTAGTCAGTAAAAAGAGTGCAAGATCGCGCCACTCACCTCCAATCATACTTGTATTAAAATACCTACCTTTGTATAGTCGCCATTTCAATGAAAAGTATTTAAGTACGATTAATTTTATTTACTACAAACAAACATGGTCATGAAGTATTTAAAAGACAATTTTCCTTTGAGTGCAAACACATGTAGCCTCAACTCGTATATTTTTTTTTAGTTAATCACTTTTGTTACAGATATTACAAGGTCAAAAGGAGCCGGAGTGGGCAAAAGATAACTGGACATGGATACAGAGTTGTGTGTTTGAAAATTACAGAAAATTTCTAACTTATCACCCAGCGATACCTGCCATGTTATCAGGTACATTAATAATAATTTGACTTTTATCACTTTACTATGGAGCTCCTTTAATTTGTTCCCTTTGGGCTGGAATACATGGTTAAAACTAAAGAGTCTAAATCATCATAAAAGTAATGTCTAATAAAGCCGGGTCTGCACTGAACAAACTTTTTGCAAAAATGTTAAACAAACAAGTTCTTTAGCACATTTTTGTAATAAACAAATAGTTTGTCATAAACATTGTTTGGCAAACAAAATATTAATGTTTGGACAAATATTTTAGTGTTTGTTTAAAAAAAAGTACAAATGCATTACATTGTTTAACAACAAATACGTACAAATAGTGTGAGACGAGTTAGCAGTAACAAACATGTAAACATTGTGATGTGTAAGGGATGAATGAATTTGTGATGTAGGCTACCATCTCCATCGGCTAGCTTGTTTCACTGCAGCAGTTATGGTAATCAACGAACCTTGACTGAGAAGATGGTGGCCGAGACAATAGTTACAAAGAAAGTATGAATGCAGGGAAGAGGATTTATGAGCATATTTCACAGCTGATTGTTTACATATCTTACTGAGTGTCCAACGCAGACTTCAAAATACTAACTAACCATTGTTTCTAAATAAAGTTTTTTCTTAACTTCTTGGCAATAAGAGTAAGCAATATTTAGGATACTTACACCTTTACTCCTCCACAATAGGAGGGTCGAATCATTCTTTGATATGGTTATTCATTATATCTGGGCAATGAAATAAAGAATATCTCAAATTGTTTCTGAGGTTTATGCTGCACTTTAGAGTCGTCAGGAGCCAATAATTTTGCATTGTTGTTGACCGTCAGATGCCAGGCAGTGGTTGTCCTAGCGCCGATCAGCAAAAACATGTATTCACATTGAAGCATTTTTTAATCATGCACTGTAAGCTTGATTACCAAGCAGAAAATGTTATGACATTCTAAATTTTTTTTTCATAGGAATTTCTTTTCGGATTTTTAAAACTGTTGACAGTTTAATTCAATATATTTACGTAGTTTGACAAAATAATAATTGAAATAAAAAAGTAGATAGCAAATCACATCTGCGGTTTCAATAGCTTTAACCCTTTGAGTGCCAACGTCCAGGGAACCGGACGTTTTTAAAACGAGCCAAAAGTGCCGACGTCCGGCCGACCGGACGTTTTTAGAACTAGCCAAAAGTGCCAACGTCCGGCTGACCGAACGTTTCGTAATGATCGAACAGTTGTCATAACAACCGAATGGATACTCGGATTCTTTTAACCCATATATTAACATTGAGTCGAAAGTTACTAGATGCGATACATAAATTTTCGTTGGTCGCAATATCGAAAATTTGATTTTTACGAAATTTTAACCTAAAAATCGCCAGATCGCGCTCGGCATTTTTAGCGCAACCTTCAGGAAAAATCATCAGCATTTTTTTAGCGTTACTTTTATTTCTCGCCTGGCACTCTAAGGGTTAAAACGAGATATTTTGCAACTTTTTATTTTAATAAACAATGCCGTTATGGGCAGAAAATCCAAGATGGCTGGCGGCTTATCAGACTACCTATGTTAAGACCACATCTAATCCCAATGAATGTAAAGTGATGACAGCTGGCTTTAAGTGAACTTCACAATTAATACCAAGGCAAAAATGTGGTTCGGATTCCACTATAAACTGTAGGTCCCTTGGTTGCTATTAGCTGTATGGGCTATTAATTAACAGCTGTGTCTATGGAATATGTCGACCTTAGACACTAACAAGACTACAAGATCACGCCAATCATACTACACTCATCTCCATTTATACTTGGCTTAAAATACCTACCATTGTATGGTCGCCATTTTAATGAAAAGTATTAAAAAGTAAAGTAAAGTATTATTTCTCAATGTATTGGTGCTCTTAATGGCAAACATATGGTGTGTACAATCAATCTGCAGTACAGTAGAAATCCAATCATCCGAATCAGTTGAGACTGCAGTCCGCAACACATTTGGATGATTAACATTCAAATAATTGAATTTTTCCAAAATTCGGGTATTTTACAGAATTTAGGCAAAATCTAACTGAGCCTTTAATAATGCAATCGCAGAACGTGCCTGCAAAGATTAAGCAATTGAATATTCACTCTATCGCCATGGAGGAAAATTATGACTTTCTGAGACCTCGGGAGACAGACGATCATGTCCACATGACCATGCAGATATTCAAGATTTCGCTGAGATCACAGAAAATGATAACAACTGTGTCCAAATGTATGTTTTGTTGCATAACAAGGCTTGGTAACTGCAGGCGACAATTACCGTATCTGTCTACACAACCATGAGAGAGTTTTTACATTTTTCTGCGATCACAGAAGACGATGATGTTTCTGTGACCACGGGGATGATGATAATTTCTTAAAGACTTTGGAAGATGTACAGTACAAGATTTTGACACGATCCCGAAAAACAATGACGCTGTTTCCACGACTGCTAGAAATGATTATGTGTCTACACACAATAGTTTTTGGATTTTGCAGCAATAAACTGTTATTGTGACATCTTCTACCTTCTTTAAAAATAATTCTTATTACGTGGTTTTAAATTTGTTTAAAATTCTTTCCCTAGGCAATTCGGATAGTAGAAGTTCTACTGTACTGCAGAAGTCCTTACTCATTAATAATCAAGAAAAATTACAACAACACACCACTAAATTTAAAATATACAACACACAAGCTTCTCTGGCTAGCAACTGGCATAGACTGTAGGCAAAAATTTCAGTTTCGCTCTGAGAGAAAACATGATCTCCAAACAAATATGGCCAAACCTCGGAGTTTTTTTTTTGCTGGCGCATTCATACTGGAATATGACAAACAAATGTTTGTCAAACATTAGGAAGTTTGTCCAAACTTCAACAAACTGTTTTAACAAACATGTTTCCCGATTGTTTGTTCAGAGGGCACTTGGCTTAACATGATGTATATGAAACATTTGAGGTGTGTGAGCCTGAGATTTTGGGTTGAGTTGAGCTTTAGATAAAAAATTCAAGCCTACAGTATTTCAAGCCAAGCTTTTGTATGAGGATCGTTGGTAAATTTAGGTCTCCAACGAGATCTGACATGGCCAAAAGCTAATTCAAACCTGACACCAGTGGCACGTGCTTACACTTCATTCACTACTGTTCCCACCGGTATACGGCTAATAGTATTGTCTTGGCATAGCTAATACTTAATAATGTGAGAGAAAATCGTGGATCCGCCAAGTGTGAATCATGTTCTGCGATTAGGTTTCTGTGAGAAGGGAATCAACCTCTACTGAAATGCTCCTATATACCAAAGCGTAAAAAGTCCTGTGTTACCATTCAAAAGTATAAGTTTGCTTGTGGTTTCAGGCAGGATGATTCAGCAGATGGAGGAGGAGACAAGCATAGACAGACAAGTCTTGTTCCATGTTCACGTAACCTCTGACATTGCGCTATTGAACATGAACTGGACACTACCCTTCACCACACATTCACACTGGCCAGACCCTGGGGATGCTTTGATATATGAGTTCTACACTGAAGACAAGGTTGAAGTGAGTAAAGATTCACAAACCTAACATTACGAAAAGTCAATTTTGTTACTTTAATTTCTTCTCTTTATTCATTTCCAATGGCAGTTCTAGATATTATAATCAGCAACTTCACATTTCAGTCCCCCATATTTTTTGAAATTGAATAAACCTGGTTATGTTGAGTGAGGTTATAAGAACTAGCAATCTTATATATATAGACAAGCATGTTTCTTGAAAACTCTTTTTCTCAGCTCGTGTGCATCACAGGGAAAATCCATGCATGCATACTGTTAGAAAGATATTTGCCTGTAGATGTGCGGAATCCCTTTAAAAAGGCTAAAAGATAAGCTGTTATATATTATTTTATCTGTTAGTCTGGACTCATTAATTAATTTTATTTCTATTTACAGCAGATGTAATATTTACAATTCTAAGATTGAGGAGTGAATGAAAAGGATGGTTTGGTGCACAGAAACGTTGTATAATCCCGTTATCCTGACAGAATTTAGTGAACTCATCAGACTTGAATATAGAAGCGTTGTCAGAAACAATGGTGTAAGGAAGTCCATATCGAGAAAATAGGTCATCCAGTGCATGTATCGTTGTTATTGAGGTAGGGGCTTTTGAGGACATTTTTACTTCCAGCCACTTTGATTTGGCATCTACAACCACAAAGAAATAGTGATTTTTGAAAGGGCCGGCATAATCTATGTGAATCCTTTGCCAGTTTTCTTGAGGTTCTTCCCAAATGTGAGGAGGGGCTTTGACTGGATTGTTTTTTACTTCAGCACAGCTTTTACATGATTTTACCATGCTTTCGATTGCAGCATCTATGCCAGGCCAATAAAATGATGATCTAGCAATGCTCTTCATAATCACTATTCCAATGTGAGATGAATGTAATTATTCTTTTAGTAAGGCTGGTTGAAGTGTTTTAGGGATGCCTTGACCCTCGCATAATAATACCGGAATGAAGGGTGAATTCTGGATTTTTTATTTCTCCTTCAAGAAGCTTTCTTTTAAGGCTTTGTAATTCATGGTCTCTAGCTATTTGTCTCTAATCTGATTGTGTCTGCGGTAATAGCTGAGGTGTCTGTAATCATGTCAAGAGTTGTCTGATTTACCTTGTATGAGTCTTCAAGGAAACTCATGTATACATGTATGTATGTAGGTATTTAGTACCAACTTTACATCCAGAGGAATTGGATTTCGAGAAAAGTAGTCTGCATTCGTATGTTCTTTTGATGGTCTCTGTTTGATTTCGTAATCGAATGCACTTAAGAATTGGGCGTACCTTAATAATCGATGTGCTGAGATGACTGGCATGGCTTTCCTTGGATTGAATATTTGTTGAAGTGGCTTGTTATCTACAATCAATATAAATTTTCTGCCGTAAAGATACTGGTAAAATCTCTTAATACCCCAATACACAGCAGTGGCTTCTTTGTCAAGTTGACTATAAGCCGCTTCACTTTTAGTTAAGGATCTGGAAGCAAATGCGATGGGTTTTTTCTTGACCATTTATGACATGGGACAGTACTGCTGAAAGACCAATAGGTCCTGCATCCGTAACTAACGTAACAGGATAGTCTGGATTGAATGGAGTCAACACTCTATCACTTGTGATTTCTTCTTTGATTTTATTGAAAGAGTTTTCACATTTGTTATTCCATTTGAACTTAACATCTTTCTTTAGAAGCTGAGTTAATGGATGAATTATTGAAGATGCATTTGGAATGAACTTCGCATAGTATAGTGCCAACCCGAGAAATGATCTAACTTCCTCTACATTAGTGGGACGAGGGGCTTTCGTAACAGCTTCTATTTTATTTTGACATTTAGTGACACCTTGACTTGTTATATGATGTCCAAGGAAATTTATTTCAGATTGAAACAATTTGCACTTATTCATGTTTACATGTAAACCATATTTCCTCAACGCCTGGAGACAATTTTCTAGTCTTTGATAGCATGCACTCTTAAAAAAAAATGCCCTTGAATAAGAAAGTCGTCAAAATATGCAATAGTTCCATCTAAGTTAGATACTACCTGGTCAATGATTTTGTGAAACTCTTTTGGTGCATTTGTGATACCCATAAAGAGTAATTTTGCTTTGTAAGTTCCCCATGGAGTGGAAACTGCAGCATAGTTTTGACTTTCTTCTTCTAACTGTACATGTAAATAAGCTTTATGCAGATCTAAAACACAGAAGTATTTTCCTACATTTAATTTATTTAAAAGATCTTCGATTCTGGGAATAGGATATTGAGTATCTTCTAGTTGAGGGTTTAGTGTAATTTTATAATCTGCACAGATCCTTACAGATTGATCTGGCTTAGAAACAATAACTAGTGGAGTACCCCACGCTGAGTGATCAACTTTTTCTAGGACCCCTTGATCAACTAAAGATTGTATTTCTCTTTTAGTTTTGTCTAGCAAGGCATAAGGAATAGGTCTAGGCTTCATAAATATGGGTTTTGCATTTTCTTTCAGTTTTAAAGAACATTTGAAATTTGGAATAACACCTATATTTTATTGAAATACCTACATCTTTGTACTTGTTTAAGAGTTCAGTTTTGATTGATTCGATATTATTCTTGTCTGGGTCCAAACGGTTACCAGTAAATTAACTGCTGATACTGGTACGTTTAGTTTTCTAATCCAGTCTCTAACTAATGTAGGAGTGTAGTTCCCTTTTACAACATACAAATTACCGTGAGTTTTAATCTGTTTGAATGAAATTGGTACCCTTGCTACGCCTATTGGTGAAAAAGATTGATTTGTATATGAACGAAACCTTAGTTTCAAACATTGAAAATCAGTTAATAATACTATAGTAACTTGACTGCCAGAATCAATTTCAAATTTGTTTGAGCTTCCACCAACCTTGACTATGACTACAAAAGGATCGTCTCGAGGTTCACCTAAATTTTAATAAATAGGTACAGTTTTTACCTGATTGCAGTCATATTCAGAATATACGTCGCTTCTTTCAGATTCTGATTCTTGTACTTGCTTTATTGGCTGCCTTATAAGAGATAAAATGCAGACTTCCTCTATGTGGCCTTGCTTATCACAAGATTTGCAATAAAGGTTTTTGGATCTACAATCTGATGCTTTGTGATTATTCTTCCCACGGCGTAAACACATATTTTCTAATCCAAGTTCTGTAAGCAGACTTCTTCTCTTGAAGTTTCTAGATGATTGTTGGCTTTTTCTAGCTTTATTTCTCATAGAATCGAAACAAGACACATTTTTTGATGATCTGGATTTAGAAATTTGTTTAACATCTGTATCGGTACCGTATAACTTGTTTTGTATTTTAGCAGCTTCAATTGCTAGTGAAATTTCAACTGCTTTTTCAAAACTGATGTCGTTTCCTTGCTGGAGAATCTGTTCCCGAATTTCACTGTCACGAAGTCCACGAATAAATTGTGCTTGTAAAATGCTATTTACTGGTTTTCCACAATTCTTTTCTTGGCTATTCCATTTTGAAGATATAGAGAGCTGTTTTAAAACTGTAATGTATTGAGAAATTGATTCATTAGTACCTTGTTCCCTTGATAAAAATTTGTGCCGTTCTGTGAGAACATTTGTCTGTGGACAGAGCTGTTTCTCCAGTAAATCAGTCAAGGTTTCATAGTATTTTGAAGATGGAAGATCAGGTGCTGTTAAACTTGATAAAAGGGAATAATATTTTGCACCGAGTGCATTTTATCAATATTCTTGCTTTTGTTTCCTTGATTTTATTTGACCCTCCATGTAACTTTTTCAGTTCAAAGAAGTTTTCTAATCTCTCTTTATAAGATTTGAATGTTTCCACTTTTTCATCGAAAGATTCAAAGGTTACTGAAGAATTTAAGATAGGTGTTGTGACTTTACTGTCTTCTCCATCGTTTTCTGGTCTAGGACTTGCAGGTTGTCTTACTAAATGGGCAAGAGCAGCAGTTTGGGCTTGTAATGTTTCCAATATTGTTTTGTTTTGTTCAGTCACTTCTTGATTATCCATTTAGAATGTCCTGTTCTCTTCAAGCTTGTAAGTAATGCCTTATCTTTTTATTTTCACCCCTGAGTCGCCATTCTTACGTACTTATTGAATTAAATAATTATAACACATAATTGTAAGAACTAAAAAAAATAATGTCTTGTTTTTATTCATTTCTCAATCTTAGAATTGTAAATATTACATCAGCTGTAAATAGAAATAAAATTAATTAATGAGTCCAGACTAACAGATATAATAATATATAACAGTTAATTGCAACAAACGGTCTGGCTGAGCGATCAGTACAAAACTTGAAACAAAAACTCAAAGCAATGACTGAAGATACAGGAAGTCTGATGGAAAAGCTGAATCTTTTCTTATTTAAGTACCACTCAAGCCCTCTTAACACTGGTGAAACGCCTGCAGAACTATTTATGAACAGGACTATACGTACTAGGTTACATCTCATACGTCCTATGGGAAATATAACAAGAAAAATACCTGATGATCATCCTGCCAAAATAAGATTACTAAATCCAGGAGATAGAGTTCAAGCCAGAAACTATGTAGGATCTACACAGTGGATGGAAATTCGGTACAGTTTTACAACGTTTGGGAAAACTTCATTATCATCGTATTAGACAATCAAAACAAAATAAAGAGACATATTAACCAGCTCAGAAAAACACAGGTTGAAGCTAGTGGGTTATCAAAAACACCAAGATATTTTCATAGATACCAAGAAGCAACCCAAATCATACCAAGTCAAACAAATGTTTGTAGCTCTCTAAATGTCTTGCCATGGAACACACCTTTAGGGGATCCTGCACCATCTAGTTCCTTTTCTCCTCAAATCTTACCTCAGCCTCAAATGGATTCCTCAGAGATAACCACATCTGGATCAAACATGGATTACACAATGTCAGAGCCACCTGTAGGTGCTAGCCAACAAAACATTGAAGAACCTTCAGCATATATTGAAAATATTGTAGAACCACCTGTTCATAACCAAACACCATTGCAGTTAAGACAATCTTCGAGAATAAGTAATTCTAAGAAATGTAGTTGTTGCAAGTGAATGATGAACTAACGTTGAAGTCAAGTGGGGGAGAACTGTTTATATTATTATATCTGTTAGTCTGAACTCATTAATTAATTTTATTTCTATTTACAGCTGATATAATATTTAGAATTCTAAGATTGAGAAATGAAAAAAAACAAGACATTATTTTTAGTTCTTACAATTATGCGTTATAATTATTTAATTCAACAAGTACGTAACATAAGCACAACAAATTAATTTAAAATTTTGAAGAATTAACGTGGGCCTTATTTGCTGGTGACGAGATATAAACAGAAAATCAAAACAAATGGAAGAAATTCCAATGACGTGAGTTGAAAAAAGAGAAGTTTGACAATGCATATTTGGTTGAGTTTTCATAACCATGGGGAGCAGGGCCGCGTTAAGGGTCAGTGGAGCCCTGGGCAAACCCAAAAGCAGTGCCCCCTTTTTTCCTAGTGCAGGCAGATGGTGGTTGAGGGGCACCCGGTGGGCGCCCCCAAACCTCTGGCGCCCCTGGGCATGTGCCCAGTCTGCCCGTTTATAAAAGTGGGCCTGATGGGGAGACCTCTAGTAGGGGAGAGCGGGGCTATACTGTATACATAAGGGAGATTGGTAGTTACATCGCAAATAACAAAGTAAAAGTTATGTAAACACAAGCAATATATAATTTAATTATTTGGCTACTGATTGTATATAAACATTTTGGAACTATTGCATTTCTTACATGTAAAAATTGGTAATTAAAAAAAGTTATCTTGAACGAAATAGCCCCGGGGGAGGTGGGGCTATACCGTACAGTTCAAAAATCATTTGTTTAAGTTAGTAATATAATAGAACTGCAACAAATTATTGTACAAACACATTTTATTACTATATATAGGTTGTAGTTAAGAAACAGTGTATTACAATTTAAACATTTTAGAATAAATTACATTAAAAAAATCAGCCTTCATGAAAAACATGAAGTTTATAAAAAATTTATAAAATTGCATCCCAAAATTAAAAGAAAGAAGAAAAAGTCCACAAATGTAGTTCTCTGCAGACTCCGCAGCACTGCAAGCTGAATGGACCCACCCTGAACATGAGCAGCACCCTGTACCAGAGCTGTACGGTTTAGCCCAAATCTGTACCTCGTGGGAATTTATAAACATAAACTCAAATTCCATCACTTAACCAACCATCGCTAAACCAAAAGAGAGCTTAAGGGATGTAGTTTATTATGAACTCACAGTTAATAGACTACGATAAAAGCTACTTCACAAACTTTTTATTTAGTACTGGACGAAAATTAAAAGCAAGTGAGTAGAAACATGTTTTTTACTGAAACATTGAAACTAGCACACATAGCAAAACGATACAGATACTGTAAACTTGTACATTCTGCTGCTAGATAGCAGCACTTGTCGGGATCACCTAGCTTGAATTCTAGGCCAAAAAAATGGGTGTACAGTCTAGCCTCGCTGTACGGTTTAGCCCCGCTCTCCCCTATAAGGAATGTCGGCCTTAGTCACTAACAAGACTACAAGATCGCGCCACTCATCTTACACTCATCTCCATTCATACTTGGCTTAAAATACCTACATTGTATGGTCGCCATTTCATAAGAAAGTATAAAGTATAAAGTATATACACTATTCAGTTGATTTAAAGTTACTTTAAAATCAATTGATCTAATATCCCTTTTCGAAACTGAAGTTGTTATTCCCATATGTTTTTTTCTTAAATGGGGTTTGGTGAACTACAAAGTGTGCTATTTTTTCTAGGCTTACTTTAATTACAACAATGTATTCATTATATACATGACATTCATTATCATCAATACTAGAGGACCCATCATGCTGCTCCGCAGCGTTAAAATAAATATAATTAAAATTTCCAATTATAAGAAATATTCAAATTTATGATTTTTAATTGAGTAATATAGTATCTAGAGCTTAACTGATTCAAACGATCAATAACTCAAATTAAAGCCTATAATTTACTGATTATTTTGAGTCTATAACATATAAAAAACATTAACAATACTGGAGCTATTGATTTTAATCGTAGAAAAACCTTATGAAAAATGATTTTTATGTTGGTTGTTCACCTTGCATTTGCTTGAAACTCATCTGATTTGAATACCTAATAGCTTAAATAGGTAAAATACATCTTAAATTGAAGTAAGAATACGAAAATGAATGACATTATGTTTTTTGGTTGAGTAATACAGTAGGTAAATTGTATGCCGATGCTTGATGTAAAATCTGTGCGTGCTTACCTTCAATTTGAGACATCAATCATGAAAATCGGTTGGGTAGAAGAGCCAAACGAACTCGGAAAAGAAAAACAAATTTTTTTCGCTGCAAAGACATTTGCAGTGATGTTCTCAAAGAACAAGAAATTAAAATCGCATACTATGCATATGTTCAATCATTGTCATCTGGAATTATTGCTTTTAGTGGTGCTTACAAAACTATCTAGCAACCTCTTTTTGTAGCCAATAAAATAATACTTAAAGTCGCTTTTAACAAATATTTAAGATATCCAACTGACGATCTTATTGTGGAATCAGGAGTTTTGACAGTCCGGCAGTTAAAAAAAATATTTTAGAGTAATTTGAAACGTATGAATAATTGTGATGAGTAATAAATTCTCTGTATGAACCAAAGTATTTTACAGGTATGGTCTTTTTCTGGTTGGCTGAGAAATTTTGACCCTATTTTATCAACGACCAGAGAGGAGTTTTTTCAGCATTATAAAAACAGACACATTTATTTCGATGAAGAGCAATGGAACAGCCTTTGTGATTATGACAAAGAAAACAATCCCACAAGTCTTCCTAATATCCTGCTCACTGATCCTACTATAAAAGATGAAAAACTGTTGTTGGATTATAGAGAGACATATGGATACAAAGAAATCTGAACATACCTGAAGAATCCTTAAACTACATGTTCAAAGGCTCTCTAAGCAATAAAGTGTTCCTTAATGCTTAAAGTGTGTTTAACCCAATGGCCTAACAATTGTTTATAACTTGAGTACCGATTTCATAATAAAATAAACTACTGTATATCGAATTGGCCTGCTAGAAATACCTACATTGACAAATTATAACTTTTTTTGTTTGGAACCCATTATTGGTTTTGAATTTTCATTCAGGAATCCAAAGCAATAAAATTTATCTTTGGAAACAAATTTAGAGCTTTTTTTAAACTGAGTTTGTGGAGCTATTTTAATATGTAGTTATAAGAAGTTGTTTTATTTTATAGTTAGTTTTACCATTAACTATTGGGACACTCCCAGTCATGAGAGAGACCCATGAAATTCTTTTATTGCAAAAAAAGTTGTACGAACAATCTGTGGGGCTGGCCCTGTGGATAGCTGTCGACTTCTTTTTATTAACCTTAAAATTATGACTGTAGTAAATTTGTATATTTTTTTACATCCTCCTCTGCACTAAAGCTAAATTACATCAATTCACTTGAAGGGAGAGTACACACTCTTACAATACAAGAGGCAAATCCAATCTAGAAATTCTTGCCCATGGATTGGCCAAAACACATAACAGCCATGAAATAAATTGCATAAGGTCTGGCAGCAAAACTGGTTTCTTTTAATAGGTTTGAGTCTAAAATGTCTGAGTGTCTCATCAAAAATCCATACTATTGTGTAACAGAGTATTAACTTTCTGATGTTGATATTCATTGATTTTTCATTTAGAACCCACTACTGTATTTTTTATAGTTTTAGTTTTTATTTCTATTGACTATATCCCTTGTGAAAGGTCAATGACAATAAAGCTTTTGATTCTCGATTCTTGGCTAAACACAGATTGACTATTCTGTGTATATTCAATGGTTTTACCATAGATAAAACACACTCACTTAGCAGATTTCTCATCCTTATGGAACAGCTGAAGCCAATTTTATTGTTAGTTCTGTCCTGTAAGTACTTTAAAGGTTGTGTTTTGTTAACAATTTGTTTCTTGTTATTTCAGTCCTTTGACCAAATAAACCCCCCCCCCCCACAGTAAACCTGCAGACTAAGCGAATTTGTGAAATGTTTATAGAGTTTAATATAAGTGCATTTTCCAAATTTGACCAAAATATGATCATAAACAGGCAAACTTCAACAGTTTTTTAGTTTTTTTATTCTCCATAAGAAATTTAAAATTGCAATTTTTTTGGAAATTTCTCTGTAACCATTAGGCGCATAGTGACACTTCAACGTACTAAATTATTTGTTTTTTAAGTTATACAAAATGGTTTAAAAAAGATGGCAAAATTTTATGTTTTTAGGGAGAAAAATGGGGGAAACCCATTTTTACCATATAAAACCCCCATAAACCCTAAAGTTCCTATAGTCCGATCATGAGGTTCACGAACTCCTTAAAATAAAATGTAGTGTAGGTTTACACATTTGTACCAAATTTCATCAAAATCAAATCCTCAAGTATCGTGCTAACGGACACATATCTATATCTATAAAAGAGGAACTATGTATGTATATACATTATGGAATCCAAAACCGCTCGACAGATTGTGATGAAACTGTCAGCATCTTCCAAGGATGGTTTGTGTAAAGTTTCGTGCAGATCCGTCAAAAGGGCTCCGCACCAGAGGGTTTTATAAGTGGGCCAATATCATACTTTTTGAACTACAATGTTTACAAATAAATCTATAAAAGAGGAAGTTTGTATATTTATATATATACTAGCAGAGTACCCGTCCTTCGTACGGGGTTGGAAAATAAGTATGCAGTTATACTCGACCTTTGCGTTTGCAATGTGAGAAGACACGGTTTGAGAAAATTGGCTTCCTCAAATTTATGGTATGCTATTGTTACACTTAGCCATATTGTTCTACCAATTCACCTACACAATAGAGAAAGATAGATTATTAAAAATTCACAATAATCACAAATTATTCATGAAATTAAAAAAATAAACGTAACTGTAATAAAAATCCTACTCTCATTGCGTATCACAGTTTTTTGTTGCTGAAAAAAATAATAGTGCTGCACCCTGTTGGTAAATCTTATAAGTTTTTAATGCTTTTGCATAGGCCTATAATAGAACCAACTCTTTTAGTTGACACAGCTGGCTAAATTTTTTAATTCCCTTTAAAAATACTATTACTCATAAGGTTAACATGGGCAACTGCAGAGCCACTGGGGCAGAGCCCGAAAGGATTTTTGAGATAAGAATTTGCCTATTTGTTAATCGGGAATGTGAGCTATCATCATGCCAAATTTCAGCCCAATCCGACCAGTATTTTCCGTGTTTACTTGTCACAAACATACACACATACATACATCCAAACTTCCTCATTTATAATATTAGTAGGATTTGAACGTTATGGTCTCCAAAACCGCTCAACAGATTGTAATGAAACTTCCCGTCATTATTAAGCATTATTCGAGGATGGTTTGTGTGAAGTTTGGTGAGATCCGTCAAAAGGGCTTCACCCCCATGGCTCTGAAGTTACCCATGTTAACCTTATAAGTACTTATATTTAAATGGAATTAAAGAATCTTAACAGCTGGTTCAACTAAACAATTTGATTCTGTGATGTTCAATAGCATTAAAAAGTTAATAGGCTTACCAACAAGGTGCAGGACTATTATTTTTTTTTTATTTACGACAACAGCTAATTTGTAATTAAAAGCCTAGCGAACAAACTTTAACCTGGAGGCGAGTTAGCGTAGCAAACGAGCTAAACTTGAAGGCAAGTGAGCGCAGCGAACGAGCTCCAACCTAAAGGTGAGTAAGCGTAGCAAACGAACTTCAACCAGGTCGTGATTGAGCCATGCGAACGAGCTAATCTTGAAAATGAACGAGAATTTGACATAAAACCACATTAGGACAGGACGACGCCTGTCGGGCCAACTAGTATAATATAAAAGCAGATGTTTACTTTCACAAAAACTGTTTTGTAGGTTTGAATAATCACAACATTCTGTATTAGTCATGATTTGAAATAGTACCAAAATGTTTCTCCAGAGTGCAGCACAGAAAACTATTTTACTTTTGAATAAGTCCAAAAATATTAAACCCCAATTGCAGCACACCTACGCACTATAAACGTTTAAATTCTCTTGAATAAGTCCAAAAATATTAAACCCCAATTGCAGCACACCTACGCACTCATAAACGTTTAAATTCTCTAACGTTAAATATGTAAACATAAAAACCTTTAATTTGACATAAAACCACATTAGGACAGGACGACGCCTGTCGGGCCAACTAGTATAATATAAAAGCAGATGTTTACTTTCACAAAAACTGTTTTGTAGGTTTGAATAATCACAACATTCTGTATTAGTCATGATTTGAAATAGTACCAAAATGTTTCTCCAGAGTGCAGCACAGAAAACTATTTTACTTTTGAATAAGTCCAAAAATATTAAACCCCAATTGCAGCACTATAACGTTTAAATTCTTTAACGTTAAATATGTAAACATAAAAACCTTTATCAAAGTACTAGCAGAGTACCCGTCCTTCGTACGGGGTTGGCATATAAGTATAAATGCTTATTGTAGTTATGGGAGAGGACACGGTTTAAGAAAATTTTGTCTTTTAATTTATACGGTATCCTATAGTATCCTACAGTATCTACCATAGCCCTAATTTTCTACCACTGCACCTAAACCATGAAAAAAAGTTAAGTTCTCATTGTGTACCACAACTTTTTGTTGCTAGTTGGTTAAAATTAGCGTTAGTATTTTTCGCGTTTACTTGTCACAAACATCCATCCATCCATCCATACATCCAAACTTTCTTACTTATAATATTAGTAGGATAAGTAAACTGTTGTAATATTGCTTGTTTATGGATCAATTTTTATCAAACTTGGCAAATGTATTTATTTCATAGTAAGCTAATGATATGTTCCTTAAAATCACACTTCGTTGCCCTCCCTGTAGGCAGCAAAAACCTAGGTACTCGTTAAACCTAATGTTATCGTTGGTGCAATTAGTAGCGCCATTTGAACAGCTACTGCAAATCAGCGCTACTATTCTATTTGCTAGCAGCTATACCCGGGCCTTGCATCGGGGTCAGTATGCAAAAGAGACAATGTTGGTTCTTAGAAACATGCCAAATGGTTTTCCAAATGCCAAATTTAGAAACAAAATTTAACTGTACTACTTAACTTGATAATAGTACGTTTTTGTTAAATCTTACTGTGATTACTTATTTATGCTACCTACCATACAAAACCAAAGATAGATTTTAAGGTATAATAAAAGAATGTATTTCATGGTTTGCACTGTAAACGAAAAACTATCACAATAAACCTCATAAAACTCAGAATAAGAGCCTAGATTGATAGGGCAATGATTATAGAATCTTAATTATTTCCTATATCCATGAACAATTTTTTTACAACGAATTATTCCCTCTAAAATATTATTACAGCATTTCACAAATATTAGAACAGACTCAGTATAATAGATCATAAACATAAACAAATGAAGTAACTGAAAGATTCATATATTATACTAATGAAATTCAAATTATATTAACATATGGTTTGACAGCTCCATTTAAGTAATGTCAAATAATGTTTACATTCGGGCTAGTGACATCATTATTTTTAATTTATAATCCTTACCCTCTCTGTTCTAATATTCGTGCAGTATTTAATATGTTTGAACCAGCTGTGTGGAAATATGAAATCAACATTCATTTGACAGTTAGTTCTGCTTGTTTACATTTTTAAACTTTGTAGGTTTGTTCTTTGTTACCATGGATACCATCAATCAATATTTACTTTTAAATCTCTCACCTCAAATTTTTGAAAGCCCACGGGGCAGAGCCCTAGGACAATATCGAAGCGGGAATAGTTCTATATGTATCCTCGGAGCTGTAGCTTCATTTGTGTGCAATTTGAGCCCAGTCGGTTCAGTAGTTTTTGAGATTACCTCATACAAACACACACACACACACAGACACCACCTCTTCTTTATAATAGTACTAGCAGAGTACCCGTCCTTCGTACGGGGTTGGCATATAAGTATCAAATGCTTATAGCAGTTATGAGTGAGGACATGGTTTAAGAAATTTCGGTTCTTTTTGAAGTTCGTTCGCTACGCTCACTCACCTTTAGGTTGGAGCTCGTT